GGCGGAGGCTATTTTTAGAGGTCACTGGCTTTCCACTTCTCTGGGAGAAACACGGGTTTGAAAGGCTGGCTCATTAAAGGGAATTAATACACTGAAGCGCAGCCTCCGCTCCTTGCTTTCACTCCATGCCTGTTTGCTGTGCGGCTGGAACCGATGAGATCCTTACTACCTGTCCCCATTTCCCCTTAATTCGACCTGTGAGGCTCTGAGAAGACACTAGAGAAAATATACAACAAAGTAAAATAGGAACAAAAATGAAACTTCGGGATGAGGGTGCTATTGCCTGAGCAAGGAAAAGTCCTGGACAGCAGCAGATCAAAGAAGAGGGGGCATTGGTGGGGTGCTCACTGATCCCCAACACCTGCCTCAGCAGCAGAGGGGTCAGGAAAGGAAAGAAAGGCAGGTGGGGACCGCAAACCTCCTGGCGGGCCCATCCGCGCGTGACCTTGAGCAGGGGGCTCTGCGGCCCTTCACGAACAAAATGGCTGTCACCCTGGGAGAATTCTAGATGGGGATTTTTGGGGTGCTCCCGCTGAGGGCCCAGGACTTTGGCTAGGGTCTAGTTCTGTGATTAGGATGCAGACGTGCTTGGGCCAGGTCATCTCCAAAAGTCTGAGAGGGCAATGGTGGAGGCCAAGAGCCGGGTCCTAACAGCAGAAGGAGGGGGGGGTGCCTGCCCCGCTTGGAGACACATCATAATCACGGCAACTGAGGCGAGGGCCTGCCCAGTTCTTTGGTCTGAAGCTGTTGGAGTCACAGGCTGCTTTGCGAAGGGGGTGGCTGTTACCCCGCACGATGCTGTCATCACCGCGGGGCGCCCTTCTCCGGCCGATGCACGGCCCAGCCTAGCTACCCCGAGGGTCCCCGTAGGTCCCCGAATCCGACCCGAGTTGGAGGGTCCGCCAGATTCCCGGTCTCCGAACCCCTGCGCCCTGTGCCCCAGCGTCCCGGGCAGGAGCAGGTGAACAGGTTGGGGGAGCGCCGTGGTCAAGAGCATGTCCTGCTGCTCTCACGGCCCAGGCTCCTCGCTTCATCCCGGGAACCAAACCCGCCCCTGCAAATGGGGAAACTGAGTCCCCGAGAACGGAGAGGGCTCGCCAACGGTGCCCATGAGTTGGCAACAACCAGGGCGCTCCTGCCTCCAGGCTCCTTCCCGGCGCCACCTAGGCGCGCGCATCGTGGCGCTTTAAACCTCTCCGTC